CACGCTCCCTTTTTCTGCCCCCCATTGACTCAAGCCATACAAACGCATTCATACACACCCACAATATCATCCAATTATAACGAGGGAGCGAGATAATGTGAGATCGGGTTATTGACATTATTGTTAACATAGTTTCATAACACATAACATAACATGTTGATTTGTTAATAATTAAAGTGAACATGAACACACACCCTCACACACCACTTCGAACCCACTTCAGAATTTTATTTGTAAATTAACTACCTTGCTCATCTCTCTTTTTGAGGGTACAGTTTCCACCCAATTCATGTACAATGTACAGTAGAATGCATTTAATGGCCCGGGAGTTAAAGGTTAAGTATATAAATTACTTCAATAAATTATTATATAGTATTATACATATAATAAAATCTTGAAATAAAAAACAAAGTTTAAATTAAATTCAAAATATTAGCCCAAAATACAGAATATTTTGTTAAATTATTAATTAACAAAACTTCTTAAAATAACTTTTAATTTTAATATTTATATTAAAATATATTTCTTTTAATGATTAGTATTATACCGTGTATTTAAATGGATTAAATAAGTCAATCTCTACAACACATGTGTATTTATAGAAGCGTTGAATCATTAATTAAAGTTAACACAAAAAAGTATTGAAATAATGTATGAATTCTTTCTTTTGACACATTTTTAATAATTAATAAATGATTAATTGTTTGAAAAGTATTGTTATAACTTATAAGAGTATCAATTAATTAATATTTATAGTCTCTATTATTATCAGATTAATGACTTCATATAAACTTCATATATACTTCAAATAATATTGTAAACAATCAATTTGAGCAGGGTGACAAAAGGATGGCCAATTTTATTATCCACACAATAATAAAAATATTTGTTTAAAATTTTTAAATATTTTCTATAATATTTAATTTTTTTTAAATATGTTATATTGTATATTTTGATAAAATTTTATACAGCAAAACTAGAATATCATAGAACACGAACATCACAAACAATTCATATAATGTTAAACCAGGCCATCGTTAATATTGGGCATGCTTCTTTATTCAAACAAATAATAAAATTGTATTTAAGAATACAATTATGGGCACAATTGCTATAAATTTATAATAATTGTCATTTTATCCAAATATTACAAAGAATATTACACAGATAAAATTACAGTTTAATTGTTATAGTTAAATTCTTAATAAATTAAATTATATGATTTAAATTTGACGTGAATTACAGAGAAATAATAGGTTTGTATAAATGAGCACAAATCTGTGCTCAACTCTATAGATAGTCTCCGTTTGTTTAATAATACTCTAAATATAAAAAAAACAGACATTTAATGGATTCATCCCTAATGTTAGTGTAATCTAATGCTAAAATCATTTAAATTATTCTTAACAACAATTAATTATAGAAATCATTTCATTTCATCATAAAAATTACAATTTAAATTATTTAATATAAATTTCTGCTTAATCTAATTTAATTAACTCTAAACGTTTGAAATCATATAAATTTATCACAAAAATTTAATTAGAAATGCTTTAAGTAAACAATAATCAACGGAAACCTTTTGATTGTTATTTAATTACTTTAACAAAAAATTGCGATATTCTGTTGTTTTCGATATTTTGTTGACTTCGGAAAACAAAAAGCTTTTGGTCTCCCATTTCACGCTTGACTATAGTCTCAAACGCTTAAAAAAATAAAAGTGTCTCAAAAAAGGCAATTATTTTGCCTCCGATTAGAGATAAGAGGGCCTAAAATGAAGTCGTGTTTTAGTTGATTGGATTGTTTAAAAATTTATGAAATTGATGTCAAAAATCTATATGAGATTTGACACATTGTTTCACTCGATAACAACTCTTCTATAGTAAAGGAAATATCTTTCGGGAAACAAATAAATGGTTATAAATATAGAGATGAGAGGAATAATTGATGTGTTTTGAGGCCCACATAAAGTCTGAATAATAAAATAGACATTAAAGCCTTCTCTCAAGTATCGCATCGCAAATAAATGCCTGTTTTGTCACTTTGTTTTAGTTTTTCCTCTTTTATATAAATTTTGACTCAAATTCTTATTCTTACGAAAACTGTGTCGAGATATGCAATGAATAGGATTTTGGAAAATACTTTTTCAGGAGAAAAACCAAAACATTATTTCTATTCAATTCTTCTTTTGAAGAATTTATTATCAAAATATTTTTTGTATAGAAAATATTTTCATTAAATTAAATTTATTGGACTTTTATTTTACGACTTTATGACAATTATATAAAACTAAAAATTGAATGCATTTATTGTTGTATAAAATAATCATATATTTTATTATATTTGATAATTGATTGGATGAATGAGTTGTTAGAGACTTACCCAACATTTTAATGACCGAACGTCTGGAAGCGTTTTGTTTGTGTTGAGCACTGGATGTGGAGTTATGTCTCTGATAGTCAACGCCGGCGTTGGTCTCGGAGACCGACAACTCCTTTGAACCGCTCCTAATCTGACGCGAACTTCGGTGCAGATGAACACCAATTAAAACATATAAAACTGATATCACAGTAATCGGGATAATGAAGAACACAAGTGTCGCGATTTCAAAGCCATACTTGAAAATGACTTGTTTGACAGTGCATTGAGCGGAATCGTAGAGTTGCCGACCGCTATACGGCTAGATTGCAACAACAAAATACATTATAATTTATAACTCACAAAATGTATTTTATTAGTTCAAATACTGACCACGTATATAATGCCAAACTGCCAGGCCACTGGAATTGCGCAAATGGCCCCCAAAGCCCATACGATCAATATGCTTTTGATTGCCCTAGGTAGTTGGGACATTGTATGCGCCTTCAAGGGGTGACAGATCGCTACATATCTCTCGACAGTGAAGGCAGTTATTGTCAAAATCGATGCATTTGTCGACATCTCTGACGTGAATCCTCTTAGTATACAAACACTTTCGCCGAAAACATACGGATATTTCTGCCACAAGAGATACAACTCTTGCGGAAGTCCAAGAATGAGCAGAAGTAAGTCAGAGATGGCAAGACTGAAGAGATAGTAATTGGTGGCGGTGTGCATATACTTGTTGTTCGCGATCACAACACAAGTGCACACATTGCCCACAACACCCGTCAACAAAATCAACGCATACACTATCGTCATCGGTATGACTGTTGTCAACGGGTCTCTCACGGGTCCCATATATTGGCTTAAATCAAATTCCGTTGCGTTTATCTCCACAATCGTCGTCTCATTCATTGTGTAATTCATTGATTACTTCATTCACGCATTAATTGTGGGAAAAAAATCAGTGAATTTAATTGTAAAGTCAGCGAAAAGAATTCCGACACGTATTTTGTTTTGACACCAATTATCGCAAATCACTTCTGAAATTCTGTGTCAATAATCTGAAAATAACTGAAAATTAGTTCAAATTAGCTCAGCATTGGATACATAAGCATTGAATACACATTACATTATAATATAGTAAGATATTGTGTTCTGATTGACATTTTGTGGGCTAATCGTGAACTGATATCAAACTTTTATATTGTAACAATGCAGGAATAAAAATATACTTTATCTATATTTTATAAATAAATTGTTTGGACAATAGAAGCCAATCATAAGATATTATTTATGAGACTAACACAGAGAATATCGTAAAAATGAGAGGCAATAATAAAGGCATAAAAATACATTAACATTTCAATAACAACTTTCCCTTTGGAGGGCCGTCTGATTGTAGTATGAGTTTAGTGATCGCATAGATCGGAGGGCACAACAGCACAGGTCTGTGTAATGCCAGCAAATGACATGAAGATCACAACATTCTCATGAGATACTCCCGACTCTTCACCACTGACTGGGGATTCAAACCAAACACAAACACAAACACATCTTAATCTAAAAACACACTTTAATACTGTATACCATTCTATGCTCTCTATTAACAAATTCTTATTATAAGAGTCTCAAGAATCGAGTTTTTACTTAAATGTTTAAGTGTTAAAAATATTTATAAAATATGCGTTTTTTAAATAATAAAACTGTTGTTTACAATAAATTAAAATGTTATTAATTCATAATAACATTAGACATTATTTTTATTACGGTAATCTTACCCTAAATATAAATCTTAACATTAAGTACAGTATACACATTGTAACTATTATCTACATTGTATTTTATCTTATTTATTAGATAATTTTCACAATTTATTTAAAACTTTAAAAATATACATTAAATTTGATCATTTCTCTTAATTTGTTAATAGGGTTTGAAAATAAAATATGACAATTAACCATGATAAATAGCAAAGAGCAACTAGGTACTCGCATAGAGATACAGTGTGTAGGCGCCAGTATTCATGTTCTTCAATAGTGTTATTAATATTAGTGCCGTAGACTTAAAAAGAGAAAATAGTGGTGGGAATGCATAACCAGACTCTAAACCACAATCGGTGTTAAAAATAACTAAATGTCACCAAAATAGACGTTAAGTATCATAAATTGCATCTGAAATAAGTGTATCTTTCGTTGAATTCATAAAAAGGCGAAATTTTATTTTAATCAAAAGTTGTTGTCTTTCATTTCGCTTTTATTTTACTTTTATTTTAGCACTAATTATAACTCATTTGCAGTGAAAGAGTCGCTCAATAAATAAATTTTCAGTCAAAACTTATGACATCAAAGAATATTTTGCGGAATATATAAAAAGTTTATAACAAGTTTTGCTTTCAAATTATAAAAAAATATATATTTCGTAATTTAATTTAAAAGAATTTCTAGAATAAAAACTTACTTTTAAGCCAAACATCACATGACTTAATAAATTATAAGAATACTTATGAATTAAACGACAAAATAATTTGATTATACGTTGAAATTATACATTCACTTTACTTAATCAAATTGTTGTCGAAAACCATTCACATTAAAAATACAATCGATTGAGTTATTTAAAAATATAACAACAGTTTTTTCTTCTTCTTTCCTCTTCTTTCACTTCTTTTGCTGTTTTGGATAAAGAATTTCAAACTTATATTATATTATATGAGAACCACTTTTGGCACAAAATTCTGTTCAAATGATTTAAGAGAAGGCAAAATATTTTCAGTTGCCTTTCGCTCGCAAAAAATGTTGGATCGATTCAATGCGCGCATGTCTTACACAATACACACAAAGTCTTATGTTTTTGGCATCAGTTCCTCTTCTGTTCCCAATTCTCTACTTTTCTTAATTGAAATCAATTTTATTTTATTTAATCAAAAGAACTTTTAGTAAAATTAAACAATTGTTAAGTGTTATGAATAAATACATTTTAAAGTTAAAAATAGTCTACAAAACTTTAGTTACAAGTATTAAATGTAATAAAAAGTTATCATTTTAAATGTAATACAACACTATTTTTAATAAAATACATACTGAAAATGATTTCTAATTAATTTTCTTAAGTAAAACTTGATTCCAAGGATAACTATGAATAAAAGCAAGTTTTTAAAAACTAATATTAGCAATTAAAATAATTTACTTGTACTTTTATGTTATTTTTAAATATGTCTTCATTTTGTAATTATTTGTGTAATTCTAAGTTTCATTTCTTATTAATTTTACATTGAATTCAATGAATTGATTCAAAGAAATAAATAACAAAATAAATATCCTATTTATTAGCTCTATTATAATGTTAAAAATCATATTAACTATTGAATAGTTTATTAGCGTTGAAATGAAAATTGATACAAATCTAAGTACTGAATGTGAATCGAGGCCTAAAATTTAGTTTATGACAAAATGACAGCAAAAATACTATTTGTAGTATATCTGCAAATAAATGAAGATATGGTGAAGTTTGGTATCATTTTTTCCATTCACTCATTACCCTAATAATAGGTCTTACAGTTGAGACCATCTCTTGTTAGACCATCAAAGGAAAGATGAGATAAATTATTTGTAAATATTATCAATGTTACAGTGTGTCCAGTCCTATACACTCATCTCTCTCTCTCTCTCTCCTATAATACAAGTCATTCAATGGATAACTTAAAGAGAATATAAAAAGTGATTTGTGGTTGTATT